TTGAAGGGGAACTAAAACTGGAGATACTTGCTCATTAAATTCAAACCCTGTGTACCTGGAAGCATTAAGTTTTCCTTAGCCTCTCTGGGCCTCGGTGTTCTCATCTTTACAATTTCCCTGTTGATGGCTTCCTAGGTTAAAAATGGTTCTCAGTCCCGGCTGGTGTACATTAGAATCACCTGGTAACTAACAAATGAAAACATCACTTAGAGTCTACCCTGGACCAGTTAAATCAGACTATCTGGCGATGGAGGCTAGGACTCTATATTTTTAAAGTTTCTCAGGTGCAAACAAAGGTAGGAACAACTGGGCTGAAGGTTGTCTGTGTCCCTTAATTAGGCTGCCCTTCCCCAGTTTAGGAATGGAGTGCCCCCCTTTTTTGCCCTGTATGCTGCAGCTCAGCATTCAGCTCTGCAAAACTGCTGTCTGGGAGAGTCCCACTTGATAGCTGTTCACTGATTCACAACTAACAATCAGATGCCAGAATGGCTTCCTGAAAATGGTTGCCATGTTAGGCAAAGTGCATTTTCCAGGGTGTGAGGTCTGTAATGAAGAAATACCTCAAGGTCATAGATTATCCCAGAGCTCTGCTTATCCTTTCGCGATTGTGCCTGGGAGGGAAGTCACTTTCTAAGGAAATGCCCACTGGAGGGGGGCTGTTGCATTGATCCAGTCTTCTTGGGATGCTTCCCTGGGGACTTCCCTCAGGGACCACATGGGTCCCAGTGATCAGTGTCCTGAAGCTGTCCTACAGGGGAGAGAGTAGTTCAGAAATGCTGTTCTTCACTAACATTTGTACAGCACCTTAATACTTAATAGCTAGCATCACTTTCTACATGCTAAGCATCATGTTAAACCCTTTATTGTATTACCAATGTTAAGATGAACCACAGCTAACATATGGATTCTATCATTGTTTCCATTTTATAGGGGTAAAAATCAGGAGCTCAGGGTCATAAAGTTAGCTGTGTGGTAGACCTGGGATCTGGACCCAAGTTTGTCTGCTTCCCAAGGTCACAGTCCCAACCATCATGCTAAATGCTTCCCAGTTCACAAAGCAGCTTCATAAATGATATCTCTGTTATTCCTAACAAGAGCCCTGTGAGTTCCAAATGGCAAGTGACATGATCCACTATTCTTCAGGTGACAAAGGGGACTTTAAGGCTCAAACTATAAGCTGAAAGGTAGAACCAGCACTGGAATTTGGGTCTCATGACCCCAGATTCTCTGCTTGTCTGGGGTTCTTGAAGAGTCCTTGGTCCAGCAAGTTCTATTCCACCAGTTCTGCAGAGTGATGTCATTCCAGGTGTTCCTAACTGATGTTTGTGGTTGAGATTCTATGGAATAAAAGGAAACCTTGTCTGAACAGTAGCTTGACTTAGTACTTCCACTTCTGGGAATCAATCTGATGGGGGAAATAGAGACGCAAGACTGTTAATTGCAGCCATATTGCATACAATATTGGAAAACACTAGAAACGCTTATATGTGTGACAAAAATTCACATAATTGTCAGTAATTCCATAGTTTAAATAAGTTATGCTTATCCATAGGATGAAGTATTTTATAATCATTTAAAATGAATATTTATAAAACATGGGAAAATCCTCACTGTATCATATTCAGTGTAAAAGCAGGATACAGGTTTATAGTATAATTTTATCTTTTTTTTTTTTTCCTTTTTGTCTTTTTTCATGACCGGCAACGGATCGCAACCCTCAGTGTCGCGCCCGTACCGGACTGGGACCGGCAACGGGATCGCAACCCTCGGTGTTGCTCCCGCACCTCGCTCAGCCAGTGAGCGGCCGGTCTGCATGT